CCGAGAGACCCCCCAAGCCGTTCCCTCGGAGAATCAACTCTGAGCGCAAGGCGGGGCCGGGCCAGCCGGCTGGCCCTGCGGCCGCCTCGCCGCAGCTGTCCAGCGAGATCGAGAGCCTGCTGAGCCAGGGCTACTCCCACCAGGACATCCAGAAGGCCCTGCTCATCGCCCACAACAACATCGACATGGCCAAGAGCATCCTCCGCGAGTTCGTGTCCATCTCCGCTCCCGCCCACGTGGCCACCTAGCACCTCGGCCTGCGCTGGCGAGAAGTGGCTGGCACCGCGGCGCCGGGCGGGGCTCCGGAGACTGAGTGAGGTCGGCCTGCCGCGGCCCGGTGGCTAGGGCTCAGGGCGTGGAGGGCCTGGCGGCCGTGCGTTTGGAGGCCCCCGGCCAGTGCGTTTATAGACATGCGCTTGGGAGGGCGGCAGAGGAAGGAGCGCCCACCCCTGGGTGGCTGGGCTCCTGGCCAAGACCGAGGCTTCGGTGTCTGGCCGCAGCCTGTGATGTGAGGACCAGCCTGCTGTCGCCGCCTGGGCAGCGGGAACCGCAGAGGCTTCTGCGGAGCCGCGTTAAACCTCCCCAGCTGTGCGGCCGCAGCACCGCTCCCTTCGCCGGCTCAGGGTGCTCCGCGCTGGGTGCTGGCGGGTGGGGAGACGCGGGTGATGGAGCAGCGTCGTTTCCATGGGGACGCGGAGGGCTGTTGGCGGCGCCGGGGGACCAGACAGGTCGCCCGCCTGTGGCCCAGGCCTCGCACCCGGGCCTCCCGGAAGGAGTGGGGTGGCTGCCCTGATGGGGGCGGGGTGGGCACGCGTGTTTCTGCCGCTCGGCGGGAGGAGCGCTGTCCTCAGGGTGGCTTCCCAGAGCCCTCACATGCTCTTGACCTTGTCCATAAAATGCACAGAACAGACGGCTGGGATGTCTGTCCGTGTTTCTCCCAGGGAGCTGGTTCCGCCCTGTGGCGCCTCCTGGGCCTGCAGCCTGGGGTGCCCCTGGGACGTGTGCCCGCACGGCGTGTGCGGGAGGTGCCGCCTGTGCCCGCAGCTCGGTCCTCTGTGCCTCCCCGTCCCTCAGGGCCTTGCGCGCTCGGGGAACGCCTATGCCCACAGTGGCTAGACGGCACTCACCGTGCTCACGACTGCCGTCCGACCGACCGACCGACCGACCGACCGTCCGAGCAGCCCGCTGTGGCTGCAGGTTCCAACGCAGATCCGGCCCAGGTGGAGCCCGAGCTGCCGGGTGCCACCCAGAGCCCAGCCCCCTCCCCTCCCCTCCTCCACGCCGCCCGGGCTCAGCGAGCTCCTGTCTTCGGAACCGGGCAGAAACCACGCTCCTTAGAGCCTTGGCCATCTTGTCATCTGTCTGAACTTCTCTCCCCTGCTCAGGCCTCCGGGCCTGACTGCTCGCTGACAGCTGCTCAGGCCCCGGCGGCAGTGCAGGCCTCTGGTGATTTGCACGTTCCCAGGCCTCCCGCTGGGCACAGCTCTGCGCCCTCGGCGGCGGGGCGGCCCCGGGTGCGGGGAGGACAGGAGCGGGGGGGGGGGGGGGGGGGGGACCCTGGGCGGGGGGGGCCCTCGGCCGGTGAGGACGGGGAGGTGGCAGCGGGCGGACACAGAAGGCACCGGCCTCCGCCAGGAGAGGGTCTCGCTGCTAAGCCAGAGTGTTGGGATGTTGGAGCCTCCGGGCCGGGGGCCCCTGCCGCCTGGCCGGCCTGTGTGGAGCAGGAGGCGGGACGCTGTCTCGGGCCTCCCGGGTCAGCCCGAGCGTCTCAGGGCTGAGGTCCAAGCCTGCGAGCTCCCGGCTCCTAGGGCCTCCTCTCTCAGCCTCCGCCCTTCCCCCTCTCTCTGCTGGGATGGCACCGCCGCCCCGCCCAGGCCTTTGCCTGGGGCCCGCCATTTCTGGCAAACTCCTCCCTGCCTGCCGGCGGCTGCTCTGACCCCCACGGACTCACTTCCCGGGCCCTGCCTGGCGGGCGGCGGGCGGTTCTCACCCGCCTCCTGCGCCCTGTATCCTGGCTGCTGCATCCCTCTGCCCCCCCACACACACACACACGCTTCCTTTGGTTTTCTGGGAGAAAGGGGGGGGGGGGGGGGAGAAGGTTGCCTCCCATATGCACCCCGACCAGTGGATGAACCTGCAACTGACTGGTGTCCGGCCCTGGGCTGCTGTGCGTGGCCTCCCTGCCGCCGCCACCCCGGCCCCCCCCCCCCCCCAGCCGGCGCCTGCTGTTAGCAGCCATCCGCTGCCTCTCCCTGACGCTCCCCAATGGGAGGACCCGGCCCAGGTGTCTGCCTGTAGATAAGGAACCCACTGGGCACCGTGTTCTCTCTGTGACAGCAGACCGCCACTCTCCCAGCCTCTCCCCCCTCCCGCTGCCCTCTCCCCTGTCCCCCTGCCCTAACCTCTGCCCTCTCCCCATCCCCCTGCCCTCTCCCCAGTCCCCCTGCCCTACCCTCTGCCTTCTTTCCCCCCTCCCCCCACCCTCTCCCTTAGCCCTCTCTTCCCCCCTCTCCTTGCCTTCTTCCTCAGACCTCTCCCCCTTCCCTCACGTGCCGCCCCCCCCACCCCCCTGCCCTGCGTCCCTGTCTCTCCTGTACAGACTGTCACCACCAGGCCCAGGCGTGTCGTCTGGCTGTTTTGTGGATAAAGACATAGCGGGGTACTATTCTTCATACTTGAAGTATTAATTTCTTCTATAGAAAAGTGAGATATTTTATGGTCCAAACAGCAAATGTACAAGTGAATTTTTGTAAATTTGCTTGCAAAGTAGGGACCAGCTGTACGTTCTCTTGGCGGCACTGGTAACAGACCTAGGCCCCCCTCACCGAGGGGTAACTGATGTGACACCCTGTCATCGATCACCGCGCTCTCCCTCCCCCTCTGGACGGCGCCCACCTTGCCGCTCGGTGCCCCTCGCTGGGCGCTGCCGCTCCTACCTCACCGGGCGCAGGGCCAGGCTCGCCCTCGCCCAGCCGAGCTGTGCCGAGCTGTGCCGGCGCCAGCCCTCCCGCCGTGCGGGAGGCGCTGATGGGCTGGTCCTCGGGCTCCTGGCCACTCGTACTTGGCCCTGACATAGCCCTACCCAGTGCGGGCGGCCCCCACTCCACCTCTGGGCCCCGCAGGCTGCCCCCTCAGACCGCTCCCCGTGCCTTCCCAGCGGGGTCCTGCCTGGGAGGGTCCCCGAGGGTCGTGGAGGCGCGGCCTGTGGGCTGAGGGGTGTTGGTCCCCTCCCCTCAGCCTCCTCGTGGGGCAGCTCCTCACCAGCTTTGCAGCTCCCTGGGCCTCAGCACGCCCGAGGCCGAGGCGGGTCTGGGTCCTGGCCTGCGCAGGCGTGCTCTCCGGAGCCAGGAGACGGACGGGTTCTCAGGCGCCTGCCTTCCCCGGCTCCGGTCCGCCCACAGGACCGGCTCTTCAGACCCGCACACGGACCATCCTGCTTGGGGATCACAGGAGGTCAGGGTGAAGGCAGGAGGGAGTGCAAGGATGCAGGCTGTTCCCTAGAGCCTGCAGTGGAGCTGGGCCCTGTGCCTCGGCCTCTGTCCCGCCTGGCGGTCTGCTTATTGGGTGATGGGCCCCCCCCTCTCGGTTCAGTCTCCGGAGAGAACATGCTCCCAGCACCGATGGGCGTCCACCCGGCCGACCGCCTCCCCCAGCAGCAGAGCTCCCAGGGGTGCAGGGCACAGAGCTGAGAACACCGGGGAGCTGGCTCCCACTTCAGAGCGGAGGCAGCTGTGGGCTGTGCCGGCGGCAGGAAGTGCCTAGGTTAACGGTGCGGGCTGCTGTGTGTCCATTTTCTGTTCTTCCCTTTATGGTCTTGGCGCCAGCATCGCTTCCTCCCTCGTTCGGACGCGTCCTCCGGTCTCAGAGCTGCTGTCTGGGGAGGCGGCGCTCCCGGCCCTCGGGCCCTCGGGCTGTCCAGCCCGCTGGCGCGGAGCGGGCCCGGCCCACTGAGGCCCCTCGGGAGCCCGGAGGACAGGCCGATGGCAGCCCTCCCACAGCCGTTTCACAAGCCGCTTGCGCTTGCCCGAGCCTTTGGCCCTATTCCTCCGCCCCAGCCTGTCCCATCTTAGGCCTTTCGAGGAGCCGCTGGCATCTGCAGGAGGACCTAACGGCCCAAGATGAGCTCCGAGCCCAGGGAGGGGGCTGTCAGGCCCCCCTGACGCTCCAGCCGGGGCTCCGGCCCCGAGGACCGGCCCAGGGAGACGGCCCAGGAGGAAGAGGGGAGGGGGGAGGGCACTGCGTGGGGCTCAGTCAGGTGGAAGGGCTGCCCTCGTCCAGTGCCGGCGACAGCTGTTCCTCTGCCTGTCCGTCCGTCACCCGTCCCCCCGGAGCAAAGGCCGAAAGCCAGCCTCATGTCTGCCGGCTCAGCAGCCAAACAGACCGGCGGAATTCTGCTTGCCCGGCCCGATTCTTGATTAGAACCAACAGTCACCATGAGGCCTGCAAGCCGCCTCTCCCAGGCCTCCCGCCCAGAACCAGTTGGGTCGGGGGCTGCTCATACCGGCTGCGGGTCACTCCTCACCCCTGCAGACTGAAGAGGCAAAGCTGCTTGTGGGTCAGCAGTCCCCTGCACTCTGCACAGCACGTGGCCGGGCAACTATGGAGCACCTCCTACGCCTGCTTCCCGGCTGGGTGACGGAGCGTTTTTAACCTTATATATCTTTTCCTTTATTTAAAACAAAGCAATTTTTAGCACACTGAAGAAAAAAACAAAAAACTAAACGTTTAGTGCCTTTCTAAGGCAGAGCTGTATCCCAGGCTACATTTTAGAGCTTAATATGGACATAGCAGCGTCTCCATGCTGCTGAGTGTCACTCCACTCCGGGGCGGGCAGTGCTGGGTGTGGCTGCGAGGCTGGGCCTCCCCGCCTGCAGGGGGGGGTGTTTCCCTCAGGTCTCAGCCTGCACGTGCTCTAGCGCAGTGTCCCTGACTCAGGCCTGCCGGGCCCTCAGGTGTCCCAGCCTCAGGGCCAAGCCTGGCCTGGGGGTGGCTTCCCTCCCCTTTGGGGATCCTGACCTGCCTCCACCTCCGGCCCCGCGGAGCCTGGCTCAGAGCAGGAGCAGTGCGTGCCTCTGGGCTCGGTTCCCCAGAAGAGGCAGCAGAGCTGACCACAGCCTGTCCTCAGAACTGATCTTAAAAGTGTCATTAATATAAGAAACTTTATGTTCATAGTATTTAATCTTTCTCACTTGGGAAGAATAAAAACAGAGGTAAATATTCCTACGGAGAAGAGCAGAGCTTTAAGATGTGTCCAAGGACTGTCATACTAATGTTATTTATTAATGTCATTTATATACAGTGAACTAGAGCTTTTTCAAGCACCCACGTCTGTAAAGTATTTTTAAATAAAGTTTCTTCTGTTGTAGTTGACCTGAGCGCTTGTCTTTGGTGGGGATGGAGGGTTGGCACAGGCGGCAGAGCCCGCGCCTCAGGGAAGGGGGTTCCTCCTGGGCCGGTCCATTTGGAGCCCAGGCGCTGTGGTTCCCACAGAGAATGAAACGTGTACGGTTTCCCGGACAACTAAGCTTTATTGTGTGTGTGTGTGTGTGTGTGTGTGTGTGTGTAACTATTTGCAAGATACACACAACCTAACAAACACACACACACACACACACTATACCAGCTCTGGCCTGTTTCCCAGCCTCCCTCCAGGGCCTTCCATAGAGTTTGGTGCTGGGGTAACTAACCTTGTCCCCTTAAAGGGCACAGGGACCCCGTCCCCTGCTCTCACCCTGTCTGACCCGGAGCCAAGTGCACAGCTCCGGGCCTGTAGGACGCGGCGGCTCCACTGCTGGGCCACAGCTGGATCTGAAGGGCTCCACCCGGGAAGGGGCCACTGCTTCCAGACACTGCCAGGCCCCGGGGAGCCTGCAGGCTTCCCGCCCCAGTGGAGGGCCTGGCCCAGCCCCTCGCGCAGCCACACAGCGGAACTGGGAGGCACCTGGGGCAGCAAGTCCCCTGAGACAGCGCCCGGAGCCCCGGCTGGGCAGGCGGGGCCCCAGTCCGTGACCGAGCAGGTGTTCGGGCGGAACTCGCCCTCCCGACCGAGGCCGCCGGGGCGAGCGCCCCTCCACAGGTGGACAGTGTGGTCCCCGAGGAGGGCCGCCAGGACCCTGCACAGTGGGAGGGAGGCGGGAGAGGGGCGCCATCTGTCGTCCACGGTAGAGGCTTTGTGACTCCGAGTGTCCTGAGTGCTGGGGCCGGCGAGCAGGGGCGGCGGGGAGGGGTCCAGCTCCGCTAGTGCCTCAGATCGATGTACTTCTCCCCCTGCGGACGGGAGGAGAGGAGCATGGAGGCCTGACGGGCAGGGGCCAGCACCGGCAGGAGGAGGCACGGAGCAGCAGCTGTGAGCCCGGTGGTGCAGCAGCCGCAGGGCGGGCAGGTGGGCCCCACGCAGGCTGAGCCACAGCACTTTTGGGAATGGTGAGGCGACGGGAGGGGTCTTTGCTCTCAGTGCCGGCAGCCCCCCGTCCAGTCCCTCAGCCCTGGCCCGGCCCTGCCGCCTCTGTGTTAGGAGGGAGGTGCGGCCTGCGGTGTCCCGCGGAGGACGGGGCAGTTAGTGGGGGGCGAGCCCTGGCGCTGGGCAGGCCTGGCCGCAGCAGCCGCTCCTACCTGGTCTCCGGGCGCCCTCTGGTCAGCGCGGCTGCCCTGCAGGAGGCCCATCTCTTCGGGGGGCTTATCTGACTTAACTTCAACTACAAATGTGCTCTTATGAGAGGGGGGCAGCGTTCTAGGGGGAGGAAGGGAAGCAGGAGGTTGGCAACTCGGGGCGAGAGAAGGGCGGGGCTCTGGGGAAGGGCTTTGTCTGGGGGGACCCCAGGGACCGTGCTCTGGGGTGCTCCGGGGCTGGCGCGGGGAAGGGGGGGCGTGGCGGATGGAGAGGGGCCGCGGCAGGGAAGCGGGGTGGCGGGCAGCCAGGCCAGCAGGGACCGGGAAGCGGCACGGGGTGAGGGCCACGAGGGGGAAGAGGGCGGCTTACATGTCCTGTTTGCCCGAGCGCCCGCAGGGCAGCTTGCCCTTCTTGTGGAAGAAGCAGAGGACGGCGCCCAGCAGCGCCAGGACCAGCAGGCTCACGGTCACGGCCGCGATGACCACGCCCTTGCTCTGGGGCTCGGGCAGCTTCTTCTCTGTCCCACAGAGACACCGGGTCACCCCTGCCCAGTCCCATCGCTGCGCCCCAACCGGCCGGTGGGAGAGGGGCTCCCGGGCAGAACTGGTGCCGATCAGGTCGGCTCTGCTCTCGCCCGCCCAGCTCACCCGTGGTGGTGCCGTTGGCTCTGGTGTGAGGCCCGACGGTGGCGGTGCTGGGCCCAGTGCTTCTGTTGCAGGCTGGGGAGACGGAGAGGGATGGGTGGAGGTTTGGAAACGCAGGAGCCCAGGCCCTCCCCAAGGGGCAGGCCTTACCCAGCTCCAGGAGGAAGCGTGTGGAGTTCCTGCCCAGGGTGTTGGAGGCCACGCACTGGGCGCCTGTCTCCACCAGCTGCGGGGTCACGCGGACACTCAGGAGGCTCAGGACGCCCTGGGGGCCCTGGTTCTGCTCACTGGCCTAGTAGGGAGCAGCGGCTCAGGGCGGGGTTCCGGGGGCCCGGAGCCCACAGGCCAGAGCCGCTTACCGTGCCGCCCACGCTCCAGGTGATGGTGGGCCTCGGGTGCCCCCACGCCACGCAGGTCAGGTTCAGCAGCGCGTCCTCCGGCGCCCGCACCTTCCTCTCCCTCAGCGCCATCCACGGGGGGCCTGCGGGCGGGGCAGCTGAGCCATGGCCTCCTCCCGGTGCCCTCCTCCCAGGGCGCCCTCCTCCCGGGCCTGGGCGGCTTTCTGTCCGCCAAGGGCCGGCAGCACAACCGCCCCCCCCCACGGCAGGACCTCACCGAAAACCGCCACGCTGACCAGCCGCGTGGCGTTGAGGCCGGGCACGCGGGGCGCCGAGGCCACGCAGCGGTAGCCGCCCCCCGCCTCCCGGTCCAGGTTCTGCAACTCCAGCACCGACTGCGGCGCCAGCACCTTGCCGGTCTGGGGGGAGAGAGGCGGGTCAGAGGCCGCCCCGGCCGCCCCCCGCCACCCCGGCCCCCGGATCCCCCTCACTCCCCTCTCCCCAGGCACCCCCCCCACACACCTCCTCCCTCAGCCACTGGAACTCCAGCTCTTGGCTGCTCTCCGCCCGGCAGGTGAGTGTGAGGTTGCCACCCTCGTGGGCTTCCGGGGCGGCGGGGCGCACGCGGACATCAGACACGAAGTCCACCCGCAGCTCCCGCGGGGCGCTCAGCAGCGAGGCCGAGCTCTCCAGGTCCAGGCCCTGGCACTGGTAGCGCCCGCTGTGCTCCCTGCGCGCCGGCGCCAGCACCAGCACCCCGTCCTCCAGGGTCCGCTCCTCCACCAGCTCCAAGGTGCCGGGGTCCTGGGGGCGGGCGGGTGAGCAGGGCCCGAGCCGGCCCTTCCCACCCCGCCCCACCTCACCGGGCCCCGCCCCACCCCACCTGGCCCCACCCCGCCCCACCTCACCGGGCCCCGCCCCACCTCACCGGGCCCCGCCCCACCCCACCTGGCCCACCCCACCTCACCGGGCCCCGCCCCACCCCACCTGGCCCCACCCCGCCCCACCTCACCGGGCCCCGCCCCACCTCACCGGGCCCCGCCCCACCCCACCTGGCCCCGCCCCACCTCACCGGGCCCCGCCCCACCTCACCGGGCCCCGCCCCACCCCACCTGGCCCCACCCCACCTCACCGGGCCCCGCCCCACCTCACCGGGCCCCACCCCGCCCCACCTCACCGGGCCCCGCCCCACCCCACCTGGCCCCCACCCCACCTCACCGGCCCCGCCCCACCCCACCTGGCCCCACCCCACCTCACCGGGCCCCACCCCGCCCGGCCCCGCCCCACCTCACCGGGCCCCGCCCACCCGCCCCACCCCACCTGGCCCCGCCACCCACCGGCCCCGCCCCACCTCACCGGGCCCGCCCCGCCCCACCCCCACCCCACCTGGCCCCGCCCCACCTCGCCGGGCCCCGCCCCACCCAGCCCCGCCCCACCTCACCGGGCCCCGCCCCACCCACCTGGCCCCACCCCACCTCACCGGGCCCCCCCCGCCCCACCCCCACCTGGCCCCACCCCCACCTCACCGGGCCCCACCCCACCCCACCTGGCCCCGCCCCACCTCACGGGCCCGCCCCACCCACCTGGCCCCGCCCCACCGGCCCCGCCCCCACCTCCCCGGGCCCGGCCCCGCCCCCACCCAGCCCCACCCTCCACCTGGGCCCCGCCCCCAACCTCACCGGGCCCCGCCCCACCCCGCCCCACCTCACCTGGCCCCGCCCCACCTCACCGGGCCACGCCCCACCCCACCTGGCCCCACCCCACCTCACCGGGCCCCACCCCGCCCCCCCCCACCTGGCCCCACCCCACCTCACCCCGCCCCACCTCACCGGGCCCCGCCCCACCCCACCTGGCCCCACCCCACCTCACCGGGCCCCACCCCACCCCACCTCACCTCACCGGGCCCCGCCCCACCTCACCGGGCCCCGCCCCACCCGGCCCCGCCCCACCTCACCGGGCCCGGCCCCGCCCCAACCCCGCCCCACCTCACCTGGCCCCGCCCCACCTCACCGGGCCCACCGCACCGCCCACCCCACCCGGCCCCACCCCACCTCACCGGGCCACGCCCCGCCCACCCCACCTGCCCCACCCCACCTCACCGGCCCCACCCCCCCCACCCCACCTGCCCCACCCACCTCACCCCGCCCCACCCCACCCGGCCCCGCCCCACCCCACCCCCCCGCCCCACCCACCCCACCCCGCCCCACCCACCTCACCCACCGGGCCCCACCCACCTCACCCAACCTCACGGGCCCCGCCCCACCTCACCGCCCCGCCCCACCTCCACCCCACCTCACCGGGCCCGCCCCCACCTCACCCCACCTCAACGGGCCCCGCCCCACCTCACCCACCTCACCGGGCCCCGCCCCCACCTCACCGGGCCCCGCCCCGCCCCACCCCACCTCACCGGGCCGCACCCCACCTCACCGGGCCCCACCTCACCCCACCTCACCGGGCCCCGCCCCACCTCACCCCACCCCACCGGGCCCCGCCCCACCTCACCCGGGCCCGCCCCGCCTCACCCGGGCCCGCCCCGCCCGCACCTGCTTGCTGAGGCTGAAGTGCGGCGGGGGGTTGCCGTCCGCCAGACACTGGATCTCCACGCGGTCCCCTTCCTTCAGCGGCCCCGCGGGCGCCACCTCCAGCCACACGGTCTCCGCGGGGTCTGCGCGGCAGGGGGCCCTGAGCCGCCGCCCGCGGGTGGGGGGCGCACCCTAACCCTAACCCGGCCCGGCGGACTCACAGAAGACGGGGACCGTGACCTCTGGCGACTCCTTCATGTGGCTCCCGCTGGGCAGCCGGTAGCTGAGCTCGCAGTAGAAGCGCGCGTCCCGGTCCTGCTTGCGCAGCTGGGCCTGGAGGACGCTCCGTAGGGTGTACAGGCCACTGGACTCCGCCGTCTGCGACGACTGGATGTGCACCCCTGTGGGCGGGACCGGATGTGCACCCCTGTGGGCGGGGCCGGATGTGCACCCCTGCGGGTGGGGCTGGTTGTGCACCCCTGTGGGTGGAGCTGGATGTGCACCCCTGTGGGTGGGGCCGGATGTGCACCCCTGTGGGTGGGGCCGGATGTGCACCCCTGTGGGCGGGACCGGATGTGCACCCCTGTGGGTGGGGCCGGATGTGCACCCCTGCGGGTGGGGCTGGTTGTGCACCCCTGTGGGCGGGACCGGATGTGCACCCCTGTGGGTGGGGCCGGATGTGCACCCCTGTGGGTGGGGCCGGATGTGCACCCCTGTGGGCGGGACCGGATGTGCACCCCTGTGGGTGGGGCTGGTTGTGCACCCCTGTGGGTGGAGCTGGATGTGCACCCCTGTGGGTGGGGCCGGATGTGCACCCCTGTGGGTGGGGCCGGATGTGCACCCCTGTGGGCGAGGCCGGATGTGCACCCCTGCGGGTGGGGCTGGTTGTGCATCCCTGTGGGTGGGGCTGGTTGTGCACCCCTGCGGGCGGGAATGGCTGGATGTGCACCCCTGAGGGTGGGGCTGGATGTGCACCCCTGCGGGTGGGGCCGGATGTGCACCCCTGCGGGCGGGAAGGTTCGGATGTGCACCCCTGTGGGTGGGGCCGGATGTGCACCCCTGTGGGTGGGGCCGGATGTGCACCCCTGCGGGCGGGGCTGGATGTCTGGGCTCCGCCTCCTCCCCGTCTCCCGGGAATCAGCGGGGAGACCCGAGGCCTCTCTGTACCCGCAGAGGACAGGGAGCGGAGGACCAGGGAGGGGAGGATGGGGAGCGGAGGACCAAGGAGAGGAGGACCGGAGAGAGGAGGACCAGGGAGCGCTACAGACTGAACCGCAAGGGCTTCCAAGCCTCACCGCCCAAAGGAAAGCGAAGCTGTGCGCAGTGTGCGACACAGTGCCCTCCGGACCCCTCCAACCGGCACCTCCTCCACTTCACTGGGCACCCCTCGCTGGGGCTGTGCCATGCTGGTGGGATGTTAGCAGCACCCGACCTCTACCCACTAGATGCCAAGGGCACACCCCTCCCTTCGTGACAGCCAGACACTTCCAGACACTGTGGAACCCTGGCTGAGAGCCTGGATTTAGTAAAGCACAGAAGCCTCCGCATCACCGGGCTTGCAGAGTCTGTGGGAAGCACGCACTCAGGCAGATTAGGCCCGGGGCTCAGGCAGACTGTCAAAGGCTCATGCCTCGGTTGTAGGCTTCGACCCCCCCCCCCCCCCAGCCGGGTTTGGGAGGAGGGTGTGTGAGAGACAACCAATTGATGTCTCTCTCTTTTTTTAAAGTATATTTTTATTGATTTTTAAGAGAGAAAGGGGGAGAGATAGAGAGCTAGAAATGTTGATGAGAGAGAAACATCGACCAGCTGCCACTTGCACACCCCCAACGGGGGCTGTGCCCGCAACCAAGGTAAAATGCCCTTGACCGGAATCGAACCTGGGACCTTTCAGTCCGCTCTACCACTGAGCCAAACCGGCTTCGGCATGATGTCTCTCTCACATCGATGATCTCTCACCCTACTAACACTCACTCTAAAAACCAATAAAAAAAATGGCCTCAGGTGAGGATTAACAACAACAAAAAAGTTTAAAATCCTATGAAAATATCTTCAAGTGTCACTATGCACTTTTAAAAAATAAAAGTAAAAGGTAAGGTGGTTTTCAGCGGCTGGGGGCTGCTTACGGTCCTTCTGCTCCTTCAGGGGCTGTCCGTTCTTGTACCAGACCACTTGCGGGACGGGGTACCCATTCCTCCCCACGCAGGTAGCAACCTAAGAAGGACAAGTGAGTCTCCCTGCCCACACCTCGCCAGCCAGCCCCACCTCGGCCCTCTTCCCACTGGCCCGGGCACCTCACCTCCTCAGGCTCCGGGCTGTTCACCGAGATGCCCTGGGTGTTGGCCTGGATGCTCGGCTCCTCTGGAGCTTCTGCACCGGAGACAAGGAGCGGCCTGAGCAGGCGCCCCACCCCAGGCCCCTCCGCCCAGCCCACACGGCGCACGCTCCTCGCCCGCAGTCGCCGCACTCACTGTAGACGCGGAGCTGGAGGCGGTGCTCCCCGGGCCCCGGGGGCTTGGCCTGGCACAGGAAGACACGCTCGTCGTGAGGGGTGACGTGGGTGAGGGCCAGCGCCGCCCCCGCCTCCCGCAGGCTGAGCCGGTGCTCGTACTCCCCGGCCACGCTATGACCCTGGCCCTGCAGCACGCGGAAGATGAGTACGGGCTTCTCCCTGTGGACCTGGGGGAGCGAGGGGCGGTGGGTCGGGGCCGCGGCAGGGGACAGCCCCGCCGCCGCCCGCTCTGGAGCCTGGCACTCACGGAAAACCAGTCCACGTAGCTGAGGTTGCCCTGGGCCTGGGAGGGGCCGCACCGGAGGAGGGCTGTGCTGCCCACCTCCACCTCCACCAGCTCGGGCTCGGGCGGCTCGGCCTCTCCAAGCACACCTGGGGCGAGAGGACACCAGCAGCTGCTTCAGCTCCAGCTGCTGCACCCCCTCCCGCCGCTCCCGCAGCTGCTCGGCCCGCCGCCCCTCCCCTCGCCATGGGCCAGCCCTCTCCCAGTTCAAGCGAGCTGCACGGTCACCGCTGGCCATGGAGCAGACCGGAGCCCAGGCACCTCCCAGACGAGGCAGCAGAGGGTCCCGGGCTCCGGGCCAAGAGGCAGGCCCCTCTCCTTCCAGACCCGCCCCCAGTGAGCTCAGCGGGTGGGAATGCAGGGCATGTGCCAGGCGGGCACACAGGCCCCTTTGTGCCCACACTCGGAGAAGACCACTCCTCTCCTCTTGGCCCCAACCCCCTCCCACGTCCCCACAAGACCCCCGGGGCCAACCCCGTCACAAGCTCCCCCTCCATGCGCAAGCAGCACCTCCAGCACCTCCCGCACACTCGGGGGCCCCGTGCTGGGAATCTGAGTACTGAGGGTCACAGTCTCCCCCAGGGGTCAAGACAAGGCCAGGCAGCGGGCAGGGTGACGTCAGAGCTGCCAGCCTGCGGCTGCTCCATTGGAGGTGATGTCATTGGACCCCATCCGCCTGGACTCCGGCTCCCAGGCCAGGCCAGACGGAGGGGTCCTCAGCCCCTACAGAAGCCTGCACCAGCCCCTGGCCCTCAGCGGGGAGGGCGAGGAGGCGGAGGGGCCGGACCTGCGAGTCTGAGGGAGCCTTTTCCCCAGAAACGCAGTCCGCTCGGGAGCTGCCGCACCGGGCACGCGGCCAGCGAGCGGCACTGCCCGGCCCGCCCTCCTCAGCGGGCAGCGGCCGCGGGGAGAGGGGTCCCGGGGAGAGGAGCCCGGGGAGAGGGGTCCTGAAGGGCCCGGGGACAGGGGCCCGGGGACAGGGGTCCTGAAGGGCCCGGGGACAGGGGCCCGGGGAGAGGGGCCGGGAACAGGGGTCCGGGGACAGGGGCCCGGGGACAGGGGCCCGGGGAGAGGGGTCCTGAAGGGCCCGGGGACAGGGGCCCGGGGACAGGGGCCCGGGGACAGGGGCCCGGGGAGAGGGGTCCTGAAGGGCCCGGGGACAGGGGCCCGGGGAGAGGGGCCCGGGGACAGGGGCCCGGGGACAGGGGCCCGGGGAGAGGGGCCGGGAACAGGGGTCCGGGGACAGGGGCCCGGGGACAGGGGCCGGGAACAGGGGTCCGGGGACAGGGGCCCGGGGACAGGGGCCGCGGGGAGAGGAGCCGGCGCTCGCGGACCGGAGCCCAGGAGTCGGGGAGTTCCCCCGAGGGCGGCCCAGGCCCGGAGGGGCACCAACCGGCGCTCCCACTCCGGGAGCCTCAGCCGCCACCTGTTTTCCGTCCCCGGCGGCGCGGAGAGAGCGCCGCGCGCCCCGGCGGAGGTCCGCCTTTCCCGGCGGCGGGACCTCGGTGCCCGGGGCGCTCCCGCTGCGCCTGCCTTCGCTCCGAGCGCCGCCCGAGCAGAGGAAGCCCCCGCGCCCCCACTCGCTCCCGGACTCCGATCGCGGCCGCGAACGGGCTGGGAGCGGCGCGGGCACCCGGGACAGAGGGCGCCCGCCGCGGCGCTCCGGCACCCGGTGCGGCCCCGCGCCCCACTCACCCGCGGCGCGGCGGCAGCAGGCGGCCAGCAGGAGCGCGCAGAGGAGCCGCATGCTTCCCCGCCGAGCGGCGCCGCCGAGTGCGAGGTCCGCGCCCTCCGCCGCCGCGCTGACGTCAGGGGGCAGCGGAGGGGGGGCGGGGAGGGGAGAGGAGGGGAGGAGGGGCGGGGAGGGGAGGGGAGGAGGACGGGGAAGGGAGGAAAGGGAGCAGGGAAGGGGAGGGGTGCGCAGGAGACAGCAGGGGAGGAGGGGAGAGTGGGGGGGAGGGGGAGGGGGAGAAAGGAGGGAGGGGGAAGAGGGGGAGGTCAGGGAGGGGTGGGGCCTGAGCTCCCCGCGGCCCCGCCCCGAAGCCCCGCCCCAGTCGCTGCCTCGCACCCTGGGGTGGGGGGCGGGAAGCGCACCACACAGCTCCCGGGGCAGGGGGAGGCCGCCGCCCTGCGGGTGAGCGGGAGGGACAGGTGTCCGGGGAGGAGCGGCCAGCCCACCGCGCCCTCCGCCCGGCCCAGCCCGGTCCTGCCGGTGCAGCCCGGGGCCTCCCGGCGGAGGAGCCGTTCAGAGGACCCTCTGCCCCGCGCCCCCCTCCCATCTCGGCCACACAGGAGCTGTGCGGGGCGGACAGAGGAGCCCGTGCGGGGCGGACACAGGAGCCTTGCGGGGCGGACACACAGGAGCCGTGCGGGGCGGACAGAGGAGCCCGTGCGGGCAGACACACAGGAGCCGTGCGGGGCGGACAGAGGAGCCCGTGCGGGACGGACAGAGGAGCCCGTGCGGGCAGACACACAGGAGCCCGTGCGGGGCGGACTCGCTGCCTCGGGCAGTCCCTTTGAACCCAGCCCGCAAGCCCAGCCGCACTGCACTGGAGCCGGCACCCGGAGGCAGGTCCCGGCCGGAGACGTTCCTGCCTTCGCCCAGGCAGGACCTAGCGGGGACGCAGCTCCCCGCGCCTGAAGGAAGAGGGAGAAGGGTCATGGGGCCGCCTCCAGTCTGCCCCCAGAAAGCCTGTTGTGCTCCTGACAGTGGAAGGGGCCACCCTTCTCCACCCATCGCCGCAGGCTCCCGCCCTGGAGTGAGGCTCAGGGTGCGCGTGGAGGAGGCATCGACCGCCGCACCCCCTCTTCCCAGCCCTGCTCTCCTGGCCTCTGGGACAGAGGCTCCTGCCCCAGAGAGACCCCTCCCCCTGGCTGCGGGGCTCCTTGAGGGGGTCATCCTTTGGGGGAGGAGCAGCGGTGGACAGGTGACCAGAGAGCAGGCCCTGGACGGTGCTTTGATGTTGCAGGGATGACTAACAACAACATCAGCTCCCATCAGTCTGGGGGGGGGGGGGGCTGCAGCGTGGCCAGGCCCAAGCCTGGAGCCAGGGGAGCAGAGGAGGTCCCTGCCTCCCCACCCCCCAGAGCCAGTATAGGGTCACCCAGAGCCAGTATAGGGTCACCAAGAGCCAGTATAGGGTCGGCCCCCAGAGCCAGTATAGGGTCACCCCCAGAGCCAGTATAGGTGGGCCCAGGCCTGGAGGGGAGCGGATGAGCTTGCTGGTCTCAGGGCGGGAGTGGGAATGGCTGGAGGATGTGGCAGCTCTGCTCCCCTGCCCCGCCCCCTTCCCCTCACTCACACCGTTAACTCCGCCTCCTGCTCTCTGCGGCCTGAAAGCAATGCCGGCCAACCACAAGGACAGGCAGTGCGGGAGTCCTTCCGCCTGGAGGAGGGGAGGCCGGTGCGGTGGGAGGGCAGAGCCCTCCCTGCAGCCCCTCCCACAGGCTGTCGGTCCTTCACGGGCCAGGGGCAGCGATGTGGTCTGAGTGGCCAGGGCACACTGTGGGTGGCTTTGGGTGGCTTTCCTGGGGGCACTTCAGGGTTCCAGACCGAAGAGGCAACTCTCTGGCGGGGCCTCCAAGGAGGCTGGGACAGAAGAAAAGGGAGCAGGACGGATGGAGCGGAAGGTGTTGGGGTCTGCCCCTGGGCCCTCCCAGCTGCCAGGAGATGGGGTTCAGCGGCCGCAGGACAGAGGGGCCTGGGTAGAACCGGCAGCAGGAGGACGCTAGGGAGGAGGCGGAGCCTCGCCTGGGCCGAGTTGGAAGCTTAGATACAGGCCGAGGTCAGAGGAAGGTGCCGGGCCAGAGCCCTGACCTGCTTGATTTCCCCGCAGAAGGAAGGGGTGGGACGGCGCCCTGCACCCGGACAGCCATCAGCAAACAGTGTGAAGCACAGGAGCCAGTCCCGCCGCAGCGTGGGAGAGCAGGGGCACCCACAGAACGCAGCCCCCCCCCCCCCCATAATCCGCTGCTCCATGGGGTAGAAGGACGGAGATGTCGTGGGAAGGAGGGTTACAGGCAGCGGAGTGGGAGCGGGTACTCAGGACAAGTCACGGGGGCGGCGGGGCAGAGGCGGGAGCCCGGGCCCAGGTCACAGGCCGCGGGGCTGGGCTGTAAGAGCAGGGCCTCCGGACCGGAGTGTCTGAGCCGGGCTCTCCCGCTCCACGAGCCAGGCCGCTGTCCCTCTCCGGCCGCTGTCCCTCTCCGGCCGCTGTCCTCTCCACACCCCAGGCCGCTGTCCCTCTCCGGCCGCTGTCCCTTCCAGGCCGCTGTCCCTCTCCGGCCGCTGTCCCTTCCAGGCCGCTGTCCCTCTCCGGCCGCTGTCCTCTCCACGGCGCCCTCCGGGGGCCGGGGATTCCCGGTGAGCCAGCCCCCGGGCTGCGGCTCCAGCCGGGGAGGGGCCGCTGTCTCCGCGGAGCAGACGGGTCGCGGCTGACGGGGCAGGGTTGGTAGATTATTTTATTTCCCGTAACTTGTAGCTCGTCCCCAATGTTCTCTTCCTGCCCCCACACTCCTGCACCCCATGGTGGACCCAGCCTACTCCGAGCTCTGGCTGTGACCTGCTGTGACAGCGCTGGGGGGAGGGGCTGCTGCTAAAATCCCCAGGTCCTTGGAGGTAAGAGGACAAGGGTGGGCCTGTGCCCCCACCCCCCGCTGGGCAGAGTTGACCCCAGGACCCCCGCCGGCCTCCAGCATCCTGGGCACAGCCACCTCCACCACCCGCGCCGCCTCGGAGGATGTGCGCGGCGGCGGGAGGGAGGAAGCTGACGGCCATCGCAGCTGCAGGGAGAAGGAGCGGTGAGGCGTCTGGGAACCCCTGGCCGGGAGGAGGGGACCGGTCCCGGGCCTGCCTGGAAGGAGCCGGTGGGGGGGGGGACGGGGGCAGGAAGCGGATGCCGGGGCCGGAGCAGCCGCGGGAGAGGCTGAATGGGGGGAAGCAGCCCCCGTTCTGGCCGGATGTGTCCCCGTGTCCTCGCACCTGGCCAGGCCGGGGGAGGCGCCCGGATGGAGGAGCCCAGAGGCCGGAGGGGAGGGGGTGGGGCTGCAGGCTATTTTTAACCTTGGAAAAACCGCGAGTGAGTGCTGTCCCCCCGCTCGGCGGCAAAGGCCCATTGTCCGGCCCGCGGGGAGGGGACAACGGGCCTGTGTGGGCAGCGGGGAGGGGGGGGGGTCCGCACAGCTGGGCCTCCCTCCGCGGGCGCCGGCGGCATGGGGAGCGGGGCTGGGGGTGATGGGGGCGGGGCTTGGGGAGATGAGGCGGGGCTGGGGGCGGGGCTGGGGGTTGGGGGCTGGGGAGCGGGGATGGGGATGGGGAGAGGGGCTGGGGGCGGGGCGGGGGGCTGGGGAGCGGGGATGGGGATGGGGAGAGGGGCTGGGGGCGGGGATGGGGATGGGGAGAGGGGCTGGGGGCTGGGGGCGGGGCTGGGGGCTTGGGGGGCTGGGGAGCGGGGCTGGGGGACTGGGGGCGGGGCTGGGGGCTGGGGGCGGGGCGGGGGGCTGGGGAGCGGGGCTGGGGGGCTGGGAGCGGGGCTGGGGGCTTGGGGGGCTGGGGAGCGGGGCTGGGGGCTGGGAGCGGGGCCGGGGCGGGGCTCCTGCCGGCGTTCCCAGGGCCCGTTCCCAGGGCCCGTTCCCAGGGCCCAGGCATTCCGGGGCTCCCCTGGGAGCTGTGGCCGCGGGCGGGGAGCAGGGGGGCGGACAGGACTTCCGGGGGCAGCACTCTGGCCCAGAGGAGGGGTCCCAGCGCGTCACCCCAGCCCCTGCGGCGCCCCCAGAGCTGGGACCCAGGGCCTCCCCGCGGGGTGGGGCCGCTGGAACCTGACCTAAAAGCCCCGGCGGGGGGGGGGGGCTCCTGGGGCTCTGGTCCTCCGGGACCCGGATCCGGTCGGCGGGGGGGGGGGGGGGCTCCTGGGGCTCTGGTCCTCCGGGACCCGGATCCGGTCGGCGGGGGGGGGTGGGGGGGGGCTCCTGGGGCTCTGGTCCTCCGGGACCCGGATCCGGCCTCAGGCCTTCCCCTGGGCGGGCCGGGCGGCAGCATGACTCGTTTGCTCGCGGTCCCCCGGGGAGGGCCTCCAGGGCTGGGGGTCCTCCCGGGTGCCCGGCGGCTGTGATGGGGGAGGAGCAGCGGGGCCTCCACCGGCTCACCCGCAGCCCTGAGCCCCAGCCCTGAGCCCCAGCCCTGAGCCCCAGCCCTGAGCCCCAGCCCTGAGCCCCCAGCCGGAGCCCCCAGCCCTGAGCCCCAGCCCGGAGCCCCAGCCCTGAGCCCCAGCCCTGAGCCCCAGCCCTGAGCCCCAGCCCTGAGCCCCCAGCCCGGAGCCCCCAGCCCTGAGCCCCAGCCCGGAGCCCCAGCCCTGAGCCCCAGCCCTGAGCCCCAGCCCTGAGCCCCCAGCCCGGAGCCCCCAGCCCGGAGCCCCAGCCCGGAGCCCCAGCCCCTGAGCCCCAGCCCTGAGCCCCAGCCCTGAGCCCCCAGCCCGGAGCCCCCAGCCCTGAGCCCCAGCCCTGAGCCCCCAGCCGGAGCCCCCAGCCCGGAGCCCCAGCCCGGAGCCCCAGCCCGGAGCCCCAGCCCTGAGCCCCCAGCCCTGAGCCCCAGCCCTGAGCCCCCAGCCCGGAGCCCCCAGCCCGGAGCCCCAGCCCTGAGCCCCCAGCCCTGAGCCCCAGCCCTGAGCCCCCAGCCCGGAGCCCCCAGCCCGGAGCCCCAGCCCGGAGCCCCCAGCCCGGAGCCCCCAGCCCTGAACCCCCATGAGCCCCCAGCCCGGAGCCCCCATGAGCCCCCAGCCCGGAGCCCCCAGCCCGGAGCCCCCATGAGCCCCCAGCCCGGAGCCCCCAGCCC